CACTCACACATACTGGTTTCACACAGTCGCATGTCATGCAGTCTCTTCCGAAAACATCCATGTCCAGTGAGAATCTGGGATGTTTGATAGTCCGGTGAGACCCAGGTATACCTGAGTCTCACCGCCACCTCCGGGAAAAATCGATATAACTCACGTCCTTTCGTTTCATTTTCCCATCGATTCTGCCATACGCCAATCACCTCAGTCCAGATATCGCGCTTTCGTCTGCTCAACTCCTCTCTGGGCGCGGTCAAGCGTTCCAAACCCATCCTACCAGCACGAATGACCTCCAGGTCAGCAGGGAGGACGCCAGCCAGCACCGGTAAGGCCGCCGTGCTAGTGGACCGGTACGCCTTGGTCAGCAAGACAAGTGCAGATCGTTGCGATCTCAGTAGTACGCTACGGACTGTGTACATGTTCGCCCGCTCGTACCAGCACTCTGCTGCATACGTGAGCGTGGACACAAACACTCCTCTGTAAATAATTTTCAAACTCGGGTATCGCATACCCCATGACGATGTCGATACGCGAGTCATTTTGCCAAATCCCTTAGTCGCTCTTTCAGAGATATCAGAAGCGTGTTGCACAAATGATAGTCCTGAGTCCAAAACCACGCCTAGCACCTTAGCGGTAGTCACAGACTTGATTGATTCCCCACCAAGTTTAATAACGGGGGGGCGCTGAAGTTTCCCTCTAACAGTCATGGTGGTAGACTTTGAGGAGGAGAACTTCAGTCGATTCCTTAGCCCCCATTCCCGTACAAGGTCCAGAGTGACCCGGGCCCTGGATTCAATACCTGCTCTCGTTTCCGATTCAACCAAGATTGTGACATCATCGGCATAGGCAGTCATGGCAACTCCCTCAGGCAGAGGGAGTCGAAGCAAATCGTCCATCAGCACGTTCCACAGTGTTGGGCCCAGCACGGAGCCTTGAGGACATCCCATGGTCGAAGTCTTCCACTCTACCTGGTCCCCGATGTAGAGGCCCACACGCCTGGAGGTGAAGTAGTCCACCAACATTTTATAAATGTTAGGTGGACATCCACCCCTCTTAGCTTTGACCATCATCATCGGCCACCAGGCATTGTCGAAGGCACCAGAAATATCCAAAAAGATAGCTTGCACGTAGCATGCCCGAGAATACTTTGCCGTGCTGAGCAATACTCGCAGCGCTGTTACCGTAGATCGCCCCGGAGAAAATCCGTGCTGGTGCTCGGATATCCCGTGACTAATCACAGGGGCACACCTTAGGATTATGCGTTCAAGTAACTTACCCAAAACAGGCAGGAGCGTTATTTTTTTTTTATTTTTTTTTATTTTATTTTAAGAACAGTGTACATGCTGGCTTACAGTTTGTCCAAAACGTCAGCATGCTAATTAACAAATTACAGTTTTAAATAATAGTAATAATACAAGATACACGTCAAAAGGTCAAACAAATTAAAGAATACATGTCCAGTAGATCAACTAAATACCAAAAAAAATACATGCCAAATAGATTAAAAGTCAAATAAATTAAGCAAAATGTCATTGTCAGATTGATTACATAAGATATGATTAAGAGAATACTAATAATATTACATTTTGTCAAAATTGGATGTCAAAAATAGAAGGGCTTTATTACACAGTTGCCCTAAGCTATCAGCAAATAAATCGGTCTCGTTATAATCTGCGAGCATGTCTCCGATAAGCCGTATAGCACGAGAAGTGGGCGCGTGAGCGCCGTACCTGGTGCGCACCGGCGGCTGCCACAGAAGGCGAGGCCGCCGCCGTGGTGCCACCGTCCCCTCCACATCACAGCCCAGCCGCTTCGGAGCCAACAACCCTACTCTACTTAATATCATCGGACTATCTATACGATTATGGATGATTGCTAGGTAGTGTGTTATCAACTGCATAGTTCGCCTAAGTTTAAGCGTGTCCAAACCCACCATACCATTAACAAATAATGACGGATATAGATAGGGGTAGTAACCGTATTTCCGTTTATATAGCCATCGTGCAAATTTGCGCTGTATTCTCTCAATCATCAAAATATATTTTTCCTCATAGGGATTCCATACAATGGCACCGTACTCAAGCTTACTACGAACATATGCATTGTAAAGTACCAAAGCGACCTCTAATCTATCAAACTGTGAAGAAGTGCGAATAACGAAGCCAAGCAATTTACTGGTCTTTTTACATACAGTAGTCACATGGTTATGAAAGTCACGTTTAGCGTCTAACAATAATCCTAAGTCACGAATTTCACTTACCCTTACTAAGGGCGTGTCAGATAATTTATATTCTTTTTTTAGTGGACAGCGTTTACGCGTGAATGTTATTATTTTACATTTATTACTATTAAACGGAAGATGATTTAATACACTCCAATCCATAACCGCGTCGATGTCCCTTTGCAATGCCTCGCAGTCAGACGGGTCATCTATACCTAGGCTTAACTTGAGATCATCCGCGAACAACAGACATTTGGAGGCAGTCACACTATTCGGTAAGTCATTAATGAAAATAAGAAAGAGCAAAGGCCCCAACGTACTTCCTTGGCTCACTCCAGATCTTGTGTAATAGTCACTAGACTCAAATGCACCCACTTTAACAAACTGACGTCGATCGCGTAAGTAATTTGAAAAAAACTTGAGGAGTGCCGGGGCAAAGCCTATCACCGCCAATTTACGCAACAAGATATCGTGATCGACCAGGTCAAATGCTTTCTTAAAATCGAAGTACGCAGCATCCACCTGCCTACCAGCATCCAATTCAGCATATGTATAGTCAAGATGAGACACAAGATTGGTAGTTGTAGAACGGGCAGTTCGAAAACCGTGTTGACTATCATGCAATAATTTTTGAGTTTGCTTATTAATTTGCTGACATAAGACAATTTCAAATAATTTCGCAAAGGCTGACAGGACTGCAATCGGTCTAAAAGACGAAACGTCATTTTCACCATCAGTTTTTGGAACCGGAGTAACCCTAGAAACTTTCCAAATGTCTGGATACTTATACTGAGTCAGCGACAAGTTAAAGAGGTACAGGAGTGGACTCTCAAAAGCGCATATGCAGTCCTTTGCTAAAAAAACGGGGATACCATCAGGGCCACACTCGGTCGACCTCGGTTTTAGCCGCCTTACTGCTTCCTTTAACTTGGTATTATCAATAGTATTTATTGTGATACAGGTGGAGTCATATCGACTATCTGCGGCACGAACCGCATCAACATGGTCCAATTCAGGAACTTTGTTCTGATATACCGAACTAAAATAGTTCGCAAAAGCGTCGGCCGCAGATTGCCCAACAACTTCGACACCACTGGAAGAATAAGCGTTCATACGCTGCCTGTGATTCTTCCTATTCTTAACGTACTCCCAGAATTTGGCCGGGTCGTCAATTATATTTTGTTGAGTCAGATGTAAGTGCTGCTTATATGCATTGTCAATCAAGTTTTTAACATGCCATCTATAGTATTTAAATAATTCCTTGTTGAACTCTTTACCTTCAGCCTTATACCGTTTCAAATGATAATATTTTTTACGTATATTACCTATAATATCAGCATTAAACCATTTTGGATATACGTACTTATAATTCGGCATGTAAGGGGATTTAGTTGGAACATATTGACTGATACAATTATAAAGACGGTGATAGAATAACGCAACTGCGTCGTCAACGTCTGCAATTACAAACATGTCCGACCAATATATACTTTTTAATGCCGTGTACAGGCCCAGAAAGTCTGCTTTACGCCAATTCCAGCTTGGAGCAGCTCCCGGGCTTGAGCCGGCGGTGGAGAGGATGGTGACTGGACCTGCGCATCGCACTGAAACCTAAGCGTCACCTCCAGCGGAGGGTGATACTTATCAATTGGTACTAAGGGATCTGAACCCTCGGACACTAAGACCAGCTCCGGGTTAAAATTGCTCAACACGAGATCTAACATGCCATCATATTTGTTATACACAATATTATGTTGCTGAAGCCCACAATAGTCACAAAATGAATTAAAATTATTCTTAACATTAACACTACAAGAATTCAAATTAAAATCTCCTATTACTAGGACATTAAGAGAATAATATGCAATGATAGCATTTTCAATGCACGTCAATACGTTGAGATATAGATTATCACTACATTTAGGAGGCAAATAAACGATACAACATAAAAACTTTCCAACACTTTTTCCACTAATAATGGCAAAAAGCAGTTCCATATCAGACGTATAGGCATCTACATTAGTTACTTGTTGCACCGTATAGCAGTTTCGTACAGCAAGGAGCACTCCTCCCCACCCGACGTCCCCTGTGCGGTCTTTACGTACGACTAAATATTCCGAAGTAAATAATTCGCCATCAAAAACGGAACTGTTCAAAAAGGTTTCGGTCAAGGCTATAACATCAAAGTTGCATTGAGACACATTATTCCTAAAAGTATCCGATTTAGTACGTAGACCTCTAACATTTTGATAACAGAAATATAGGTTACGCACTTTCTTTCTTGGCACGAAAGTTCTGCCGCCACGGTTTTATACAGATGTCTTCAGCCCAATTATTTGGTGACATAACACTCTCGCTAATCCTCGACGGGACTCCAAGCTTGAACGATGAGTAACGTCCCCTTGCTTTCAGTTCTTCCACTGTGCAATCATTATTTCCACTAATAGAGTAGAGATGAGCACGCACCTCTTCTACTGTGGTACCCTCATGAACATAATAGAGATGCAAGTACCTCCATCTCTCAGATGCACGCAGTTTTGTCACCCCCAGCGCTGCAGTACCGCGAAGCACGCCGGGCAGCGAAGCGCGTCCAGTTTTACGTCTCACCTGTATCCATTCTTCCGGGTCTTTTTGCTCCACGCCATCCCGGGAAGCAACAGTTGTCTCACGGCTTACACTCAAAATCGAAGTGTTGGAATCAGAGACTAAAGTTGAAACTGGCGCTAAAGAAGAGATAGGTGTGTTTACTTTTTCGGGTGGATTAGGTTTGCCCGAAGCTCCCTTATTTTTTCTCCTGAGGGCCAGATTTTACTTTCGGCTTAGTCTTCCCATTATCTAGGTTCAATGGGTGCTGTACCGCCGCTGCATATCCCTGCGTTGATGCACTATTATCTTTGTCCATTTTTAGGATTATTTTTTCTAATTTGTCAATCTTATTGGTTAAATTGCAATTTTTTTCAAATACCGAAGTCTTAAATTCATTAAATTGCTCGTTGAGTAGTGCGCAAATTTTCATGGTAAGGCGCGATTCGAAGTCGTCCTGCATTTGCTTTATTTCTTGTACTACAGGGGCCATGTTTTGGGGGCAAGGGTCACATTTCATCGCCACTAATTGCGCAGGACGTTTCCCGTTTCGAAACGTGATATTATCTGGGGTATGCATCGATACATCCAAACAATCATCAACGGCAGTCGTATCATGGCTCAACTGCTGGCGTACTGGCGTATGTGAATTATCAAGCTTAGGTATTTTGCTACGGCATTCGAAACATATCCACATCTTTTTAAATTCTGATGTCATTGTTGCAAATACTTCCACATTAAAATTGGCACACATAATATCGAAATATTGCTTACATTTTGCGCACCTCATGAATGCGCTGTCTTCCATAATAACACCGCGGCATCCTGCGCAGTTTACTTGGCGTGACGTCATCTCGATCACTACACAGCTTGATGCACTCAACAGCGCGGCGGCCGACCAGCAACAGGTGTCGGTGACTCACAGCAGCGAGCGCGCTGTGGGTTGTCGTAGGTCAGTACGTAACGGCCGAAAACAATTTTTTTGAAATGTATTTGCTTATAACTCAAATGTTACAACGCGAAATGAAAAACTGATTTCACTACTAGATAGCCCAGATCAAAAACTTTAAGATAATTACAAAATATACACTAGTAATTTACTTTTAACTACAATGCACTTATTTATATGCGGAGCAAACTGTCACAGATGTTAACTACAAAGACGCTCGACGACCATCTCATGTTATGGGACGATACGCCTTGGCGTCAGTGAGTGGCTTGTCATTACCCTTGGGAATGACAATCAATCTACCGTCCTTCCATACCTGAGGGAAAACTCCCTCTATTACACACTTGGCATACACCGAGTGGAATTCACTCGGTGCAGCCATCCAAACATTCCTAATGATTCTCGCACTCACTCCATCGAGACCCGGAGCCGTATTGGGCAAGGCAAGGCCCTGTGTACTGGTGGACCGCCGAGATCGCGCAATTGCGCATAGCGTGCGTTGCGGCCCGACGCCGGTACACCCGATACCGGAGACGGCGTCGACGGGATTCCGCCGAGGAGGACGCGCTGTATGAGGTGTACCGCGCGTCTAAGGAGACTCTGTGGCTGGCCATCGGCGACTCGAAGTCGCGTGCCAGGGAGGAGCTGCTGGGGTCCCTAGATCGGGATCCGTGGGGGCGCCCCTACCGTTGGGTACGGGGCAAGTTGCGTTCCTGGGCGCCTCCACTAACGCAAACAATGCAACCCCAGTTGCTAGAGACGGTGGTATCAGTTCTCTTCCCTGAACGAGTGGGACACGTTCCCCCGGCGATGGCTTCGCCCTCAGCCACAGACTCTCCAGAGGAGGAGAGCACCGATGTCCCCAAGGTGACGCAAGCAGAGATGAGAGCGGCCATGGCGCGACTTCGGGCCAAGAACGCAGCGCCCGGACCCGACGGAGTTCCTGGTCGAGCTCTCGTCCTGGCTCTGAAGGAGCTGGAGCCCCAGCTGAGGGGGCTCTTCACGGCATGTCTCGAGCAGGGTCAGCTTCCCAGTGTGTGGAAGGAGGGAAGGCTGGTCCTACTCAGGAAGGAGGGGCGCCCCGCGGACTCACCGTCCGCATACAGGCCCATAGTGCTGCTCGACGAGGCGGGCAAACTTCTTGAGCGTATCATCGCAGATCGCCTCGTCAGCCACTTGTGCAGAGTGGGGCCAGACCTGGACGAGAACCAGTTTGGTTTTCGTCGCGGGCGCTCCACCATAGACGCTATTACGCGCGTGAGGGCCCTGGTGGAGGAGACAGTATCCCGGGGTGGGGTGGTGCTGGCGGTGTCATTAGACATCTCCAACGCCTTCAACACCCTACCCTGGAGTTGTATTCGGGAGGCGCTTAATTACCATCGCGTGCCTCCCTACCTCCGCCGCACAATAGAGGCCTACCTTGAGGAGAGATGCGTCACGTATTGGGGACGTGACAGCGCTGGTCGACGCGGCCACCGGGATCGCACATCGTGGTCGGCGGGGCCCGGATAGCTGTCGAGTCCACCATGAAGTACCTGGGATTGGTGCTTGACAGCCGATGGGAATTTGGGCCCCACTTCCGGCGGCTGGCGCCCAAGCTGATGCGTGCAGCTGGCGCACTTTCAACGCTGCTTCCCAGCTTGGGGGGCCCGAGCGCTGCCTGTAGTCGGTTGTACGTGGGAATCGTGCGGTCCATGGCCCTGTATGGGGCCCCTGTATGGGCGCTGGACATGACGGCCAGCACTCTCGCCATTCTGCGCAAACTGATGACTCTGACGACCATCGCCCTCTGCGGGTATAGCACGATTTCCTACGGGGCGGCTTACGTCCTGGCCGGATCCCCGCCCTGGGACCTAGAGGCGAAAATACTCGCGTCACTATATCGATGGTGCGAGGAAGAGCGGGGACGGGGCTCGAGGCCGGTGCAGCGACAGATCGCGCTGCGCCGAGAGGAGATCCGTCAGGTCTTGGTGGCGGAATGGCGGCAAAGGCTTCTGCGCCCTACCGCCGGCCTCGCTATCGTCGAGGCGATCCGGCCAGTACTCGACGACTGGCTCGGGAGAAGGCACGGCTCCCTGTCGTTTAGGGTGACACAGGTGGTGTCGGGGCACGGCTGCTTTGGCAAGTACCTGTGCCGCATAGACAGGGAGCCGGACGCTCGGTGCCACCACTGCGTCCATTGCGGGGAGGACACGGCGCAACACACGCTCGCCGAGTGTGTAGCTTGGGAGGAGCAGCGCCGTGTCCTCACAAATGAAGTAGGAGGCGATTTGTCGCTGTCGGCCTTGGTGCGGAGTATGGTCGGTAGCGCAGAATCGTGGGATGCAGTGGTGTCCTTCTGTGAGGACGTGATGTCGCAGAAGGGAAACTGCGGAACGGGAGAGGGAGATCTCGACTCCCTTCCCTGGCCGCAGAAGGCGCACCGGGCGCAGGAGAAGGGCGGACAACGCCCTTTTCCAGCCCCCATGAATAAGTCCAGGGGCGAGGGACTAGGGGAAGCCCCCGCCCCCCTTTCGATGGACCCGAGGCGGAGGCACGCGTGGGTGTCGGCGCGTGCCTCTGGGGTGATACATGGGGTAGTTGAACACCTCACTACCCCGTGCAGGAGACGAGGCCCGTACAGACCGGGCCAGCACTAGTGTGGGGCTGCGGAAGAATTTGGATTCCCGCGGCCCCGCGCGTTCACGTGCGAGGAGACACCGGGGTGGTTTTAGCCGGTAAGAGTCCGGCACACCCCTCCGCCTGTCCCCAGGCAGAGGCAGTCCATGAGGATTTCCCCCCCGTAAAAAAAAAAAAGTTAGGTTAGGTTAGGTTAGGTTAGGTTAGGTTAGGTTAGGTTAGGTTAGGTTCCCCCCCGATCGGGTTCCCGCCTTGTCGTGGCGGGGGGGCTTAGTAGCCGTGGCTTGGTCTCCCGCGGTGAACAAAGAGGAACCCAAATGGCTGGTCCGAGGTGGAGGGCCGGCCCGAGGTGGCCACTCCGAGTGGGCTTGGGAAGCCCGCTTCGGATGTGTGTTGGTGGACTGCGGTGAGAGGTGTGTCCTCCCCACCTACCGCTGCAGCCGAGGTGGAGTCGCGGAGGAAGAGGTGTTTTGGTATGGCGATGCGCCACTAGCCCTATCCTCCGCGATTCAAACGGGGCCGCACCGTTGATGCGGTGGTGGTGGGGCTGCGGGGGGAGAGGATTGTCGGTATTGCGAGGCGCCGCTCTCCCTATCCTCCGCAGCCGAATCTTGGTTGGCGGCGGAGCCATAGACCAGATCCACCGCTGGGGTCGGGAAGGCTAGTACTTCTAAGTGCTCGTTTTTCCTGGCCCCATGGCCTTCTTGCATTGGACGCGGGGGCGTCCGTTGCGCAGATGAAATTGGAGGCCGAGAAGGAAGGCGCCCCATGTGTTCTGGTGCGCCTTACCTGTGAAGGAGAACGGGGAGGAATATTCCTCTCCCGAGGAGGTGCTGCCATGGGGCGGCAGGCGCTGGTGGGGCTGCGGATGTGTGCGAAAGCGTTCCCGTGGCCCTGCCAATAAGCGACAAAGGTGGAAAACCATGGGGTTTTAGTCGGTGCGAGTCCGACATAACCCGTCCTTGCCCCCGCGAGGCGGGTATGCGTAGGCATTTCCCCATGTTAAAAAAAAATAAAAAAAAGTTAGGTTAGGTTAGGTTAGGTTAGGTTAGGTTAGGTTAGGTTAGCAGGCAAGCAGAGATGAGAGCGGCCATGGCGCGACTTCGGGCCAAGAGCACAGCGCCCGGACCCGACGGAGTTCCTGGTCGAGCTCTCGTCCTGGCTCTGAAGGAGCCGAAGCCCCAGCTGAGGGGGCTCTTCACGGCATGTCTCGAGCAGGGTCAGCTTCCCATAGTGCTGCTCGACGAGGCGGGCAAACTTCTTGAGCGTATCATCGCAGATCGCCTCGTCAGCCACTTGTGCAGAGTGGGGCCAGACCTGGACGAGAACCAGTTTGGTTTTCGTCGCGGGCGCTCCACCATAGATGCTATTACGCGCGTGAGGGCCCTGGCGGAGGAGACAGTATCCCGGGGTGGGGTGGTGCTGGCGGTGTCATTAGACATCTCCAACGCCTTCAACACCCTACCCTGGAGTTGTATTCGGGAGGCGCTTAATTACCATCGCGTGCCTCCCTACCTCCGCCGCACAATAGGGGCCTACCTTGAGGAGAGATGCGTCACGTATTGGGGACGTGACAGCGCTGGTCGACGCGTCATGTCGTGCGGTGTTCCGCAGGGATCGGTCTTGGGACCGCTCCTGTGGAACATCGGCTACGAGTGTGTGCTGAGAGGTGAGCTCCCGTCGGGCGCTGACTTGACCTGTTATGCGGACGACACGCTCGTCACTGCCCGGGGGAGCTCGCACAGGGAAGCAGCGTTGGTTGCCACGGCTGCGGTTTCACAAGTGGTGAACCGCATCCGGTGCCTGGGCCTGGAGGTGGCCCTTAACAAGTCGGAGGCCATGGTGTTTCATGGCCTTCGACGCGCGCCGCCACCGGGATCGCACATCGTGGTCGGCGGGGCCCGGATAGCTGTCGAGTCCACCATGAAGTACCTGGGATTGGTGCTCGACAG